GGGTATTGCAATGACAAAAGCTTGGTCCTTTAGAGCACAAGTCCATTCTAATCTTATTGTGCCATACAGCTGCACACTCTGTACTCTCCATACAGCAGCAAAGGGAAGGGAAAATGCCCTCTTTGCCTGTTCTCTGGTCTTTTATCATTGAACAGGTTTGTTTGATCTTGTCTTCACAATATATTTCAGGTGACTGATTCAGCTGATAGTCAAAGCCAACTGAAATATATCCATGTGATGGTGCTGCTCTGACCTCTTGTTCTTTTTATTGTGAAGTGCTTGCAATTGTAATATCTCATGCTCATGCTAAGAACAAAAAATAGCTTCCCTCCAAAATGATGGCTGTCATCTGAATCTTATCAGAAAAGCACAGTGATAACATTCAGTCCAGTCCTGCTGTGGTACAAGTTTCCCAGTCAGAGAAGCAGCTATTCCTGGTCTGCATTAGGGCTACTTAAAATGATGGTGTCTGTTGAAAGCCAGAGTCAGGCCGCAGCTTTAGCCAGAGCCAACATCTGGGAAACACAGCTGAGGCAGAGCAATCCAGGCTGGAACACACTGTCCATGGTCCAGCTGTCCACCTCCACCGGGGCCTTGATGGGGGGACTCACTGTGGGATTTGCTGCCCTGCCCCTTTTCCATCAGTCACTGAAGGAAGGAACCAGCAGTTGGATGTTGTTGTGGCTTCTCCCTGCCCATGGCACGAGGCCCTGCTGTGCCAGGAAGCCGTAGTTTGGTTCGCGAGGTGTTCGTGCTGTTGCTAAGAGACCAAATCCCTGCTTGCAAAGAAAGGTTATTTCCAAATTTAAAATGGCTCTGTAGATATTTGACTGGGAAATGAACTCTCTTAGACAAGGGGGCATTCACCTGTGGTGAAAGGGATCATGGAATCACAGGATGATTTGGGTTGGAAGGGACCTTTTAAGATCATTTGCTCCAAACCCCTGCCATGGACAGGGACACCTTCCACTATCCCAGATTGCTCCAAGTTTATCCAACCTGGTCTTGAACAGGGATGGGGCAGCCACAGCTTCTCTGGGCAACCTTGCCAGGGCCTCACCACCCTTACTGTAATAAAAGTCCTCCCTATAAGTTAGTCTGAATCTACCCTCTTGTAGTTTAAATCTGCTACCCCTTGTCCCATTGCTACAGTCCCTCCTAAAAGTTCTTATTTTGGGAAACAGATTTCTAACTTCACCGTGTAAGGGTTTGAAATTCTTAAAATAATAAATTAAAGTTTTCAAACTTGTTTTTTTTTTCTATGTGTATTTTTATGTGCAGGTGTGTATGTGCACACCTGGAGGACGGGCGTGTTCAGGTGCTGTGACAAACCCATGTTAGGCAGAATCTATAGAAGTCATTTCCAGGACTTGCACATTGTCCATTTCAAACATGTTTTTTAAACTCTGCTCTCGGTTTCATTTTATTACTGTACTAGTGGGAGGTAACAGGTATGACAATGATTTGAACTAATTAAAACACTATAGATGCCTTTTCATCTTCAATTAGATGACTTCCTGTAGATTCTATAATTTCTTTTACACATAAAACCATAACTGCTTCCTTACCAGACTGCTCCTGAACAAGAGATGGAGGTGTTTACATTGCCTCCTGTGACCCTGAAGTTTTTTAATTTTAGTCAGATAAAGTTGCATTAGCCTTTTGAAAAAAGTCACCTGCCAATATTGCAGCCAAAGAAATGCTGCATAAATATTTTTATAAGTATGTATGTAGTGTCAATATGTACTTTGCACTTCCCAGGAAGTTCTGGTAATGGTGTATCCTTGTCCTCGTTTCCCTGCAGATCCACCAGCCTGCTCTGGAAATGACAGGCCACGTGTGCAATGGATCGAATATTTTCCTCTATATTTTGAAAAGAATTTCCCAAAATGTATTATAGCTCCTTTTCGTGTCGCTGGTGCAAGTGGGAGCTCCGGGACCGGGAATCAGCGGGAGCTGCCGGGAGCAGCCCGTAGATGGCAATGTAAGATCCTGGGATCGGGCACGGAGGAAAGCCCGTTCTCTTCCCCAGACACTGACTCACACCTTGGATTTATGGTGTTCTCGGTGATTTTTGACTCTCCTAGCACTGACCAGCCTCTTGGGTCCGGGTCTGCATTTGGAGTGCTGTCCCATTCCTGGTCAGAAATACAACTGTACACAAATACACAAATAGCGGGAGTCGGATTTCCAGGGAACACTCGCCCTGTGGCTTTCCCTGTCAGTGATATGCAAAAATTTAACCACATCCCAGAATCACTGAGGTTGGAAAAGCCCTCCCAGACCTTGGAGTCCAAGCTATGCCTGATCCCCACCTTGTCCCCCAGCCCAGAGCGCTGAGTGCCACGTCCAGGTGTTCCTTGGACACCTCCAGGGATGGGGACTCCAGCACCTCCCTGGGCAGCCTCTTCCAATGCCTGACCACCCTTTGCAGGAAGAAATTCCCCCTGAATTCTCACGTGCTTGCAGTACTTTAGCTGTGGGCTGGAGCTCTGGCTGTCAGTGGAGAGGAGGAGTCAGCAGGGGAAAATGCACAGGTAGCTTTCCACAGGTCCTACCAAAAGGAACGTTTTCTTAGTGCAATTTCAGGGGTTCTGGAAGCCTCCATGGTGGGATGAGGATCCAGCCTTGCCTCATGCTGCTGTTGCTGATGCTGCTTTCCCGTTTCCATCAAATTATGTTCGTTTTCATCCTGTGACCCCACGTTGAATTTGTGCTCTCTGCTCTCACCTCAGGTAACTTCACCCACTGTGCCATGTGATGCTTTGCAGCCTTAACCTCCCCCACTCAGATTGTCCTCAGAACTATTCCTCTCCAAAATTAAAGACACCGGCAATTCCACAGTGTTGGATGTGGTTTGCTTGAGGATGGTATTTATTGATTTCTCAAAATGTTCTTTTATTTATGAGTGAAATTGAGTCATCTTTTCCTTGACTGACCTGGAAACTGCCATCACTGTAAAAGTTACAGATGATATTGCCCAGCTTTGTTGTGACATGGGGTGCATCACTAATGAGAATCAGAGCATTACTTCAATTCATCATTCAGCAATTGTGTCAAAACTCCATTTCTCTGTATGATTAACTATAGAAATTTATGCCAGTCCCCAGCACTTTGTTTCTGAGGTGGGCACCATTTAAATTATGTTATCTTTAACAGAAAGAGAAACATTATTATCTTGCTGACCACTTCACTTGCATGAATGAGAACTGAAAAACGAGCTGTCTAGTTTTGGAAACAAATGGCTGTGTTTTTTAAGAATTCCCACCTCCAGATGATGGCTGGGACGTGCTTGCATTCTGAGTCAGTCACTAGAGCAGGCTAATTACTGTAGTTTACAGCCCTGTTTTTCCGGACCCACAATGGATGTAGGAATCAAATTATGACCGTAATTAAGAATGGCCACAAAGCCGCCGCCGTTAACGAGGGTACCTGACAAAGGAGGAGCTGAGCCCTCTCCCTGACACAGTTACACGTGTCTGTGTGCCCTGCCTGGCTCTGGAGATGCACAAGGCTCTTCGACTCCTGTCACAAGGGCTGCAGGGATAACGAATGAATATTTATCAAGTGTAGCAAATATGCTCTAATTACCCTAATTGGCCTGCTGTGGTTGCAGTTACGGCAGGACTTTATTTCTGTTCAAGTGACAGTTGCTTCTGGATTAGGTCCCGCAGGCAAAGAGGGAGTGAAAGCCCTGCTGAAGAGGGCAGAAGATCCCCTGATATTCTGATCCTGCAGTTGCCTCACCATGCTTCTGGCAGGCTGAGAGCTAATAACATTCTCCATCTCATTAGTGATTTCTGTGGAGTATTTCAGAAGATGTGAGATGCTGGAAAATGACAAAAAATGAGCAAAAAGGGGGAAAGGACTAGTTTTATTGTTAGTAATTAATAGGCCAAACTTCAGGCTGGCAGTAAAGGTAAAATTCTCCTTGACTTTATCTGTGCTGTGGAAATTTATCTTTATTTGTAGGGTGTGATTTTCCATAGTGACTGATAGCCACCAAACAAGGGATCCTGTCCTAAGGACTTTCACTCTGTGTTACAAGGCAGAACATGCACAGTTATGAGAAGCATCTGTCCCTTTCCTCTTGTTTTATCTTACTTGTCTTTTTTCTTATCCAAGCAAGACTAATCAGTAATTGCATGGAACAGAACTGGTTTGCAGCCAGGCATGAGCTGCCCAGAGCTGTTGTATTTGCTGCTGTGTTGCTGTTTCAGACTGACCCTGAACAAGAACAACTTGACCTCTCTGCATCCGGATTCTTCCCACCCCTTGGTTCCCCACATACAGTGAATGAAATGTGGAAAGGATAAATCATGTGGAGGTATTGGTGGTTCTGTACAATTTAACACTCCATCTATCCTAACACTGGACTTTTACTGCAACACCTGAATTAGGGATCTGGTTCATTCTGGGCTCTATTAAAAAATCAGAAAGAAGACAATATATCTCCCCATGGGGGTTGAGATCCTTTGACAAGGTCGACACTCTGCTCACCCTGCAGATGCTGTTCTTTGATGTACCATTACAGAAGGTGTATGGCTCTGCCTTAATTTGTCAGTGTTGCCCCACCAAGGGATTTGTGCTGGTTTTGAGGAAGGAGGAGGGTGGAAGGGGAAAGATTTCAGAGAAAGTCATTCAATGTACCACCTTACCTGGAAATTCTGATTTCATCAGGGATTTTTCTTTCTCAGTCTTCACAGATCTCTTCAGAATCTGTTAGGTCCTTTGGTTAAATGGTTAAAATAGTTTAAAGTTACGTCCCAGTGAACTGTGATTGATATTATTGGGACAACGTGCAAGAAAGAGATTTCCCTATTCAGTCTTGGCACCTCAATTTTTCTACAGTGAGATTAATTTTCTTTCCTAGTAAACGCTTTCTGTCACAGTCAGAAACACTCAGAGCCCCAGTCCTCCCTCAGCTCCACTCCCCTCCCACAGTGACCCCGGTTGCAGGTGTGACAGGCTTTGTGTCCCGCAAGAAGCACATGAAAATGCAGGGAGAGCCCAACACTTTATTAATCCACACTAGCACAGCTCCTGCCGTGGGGTTCATTCTGTACATGTGCTGAGCATACAGAGGGCAGTCCCAGAGCAGTGCCCATCGCTGTCACAGACATCACCACTGTCGGGGCACCCCAGCAACCCTCCCGCGTCAGGAAAGCACAACGGGGCTTTACTGCAACTGTCCTGTTGGCTGCACGTGCTGCTAAAATGCCAAAAAGGAGTGATAGCTGACTTGGGGGCTCTCAGAACAGGCAGCTTTAGAGTCGAGCCACAATTCTCGTGAATTTGGCTAAAAATTCAGATACTATGCTGTAAAAAGGCATAACCATCTGAGACCCTCAGCCTTCCCAGTAAAGCTGGAACAGCGTGTGGGTTTCAAACCAGTGTTGTTCTCTTCTAGCTGGATTTATTTAGCATAAGGACTACAGTCTGTATTGCCTCCTGTAAAACACAGCCAGGTTTGTTAGAGTGATTCAGAGTAAAACATGGCCATATCCTTACAAGGAGCTGTTGCCAAGTACAAAATTACACGGGGTAGGTACATCCTCGCAGCTTATTTGTCCCTGGCTTAGGCAGAACTTGCAACAGGCAAGATGCTTTCACAGTTTTGCTCAACCAACACCCAACTCCAGGGTGATATTTTTAATTTTGGTGTGTTTTTTTTTTTTCTGGACAAGGGCTTTAGAATCAAGCTTCGGTTTGGGGATAAAAAAAAAATAAAGTGATGCATAAAATAAAGGCACATTAATGTAAAGACATTGAGAAAATGGATGGCCCTACAGCATTTATTAACTAGCAGAACATGGAAATGAGCTTAGGTTTTATTTGGTAAGTCTTGATTTCTCCTTATATTCACTTACAGCTTCTTATTTATGGCTCAGCCTGTCAAACACATTCTTAGATAAGCAACTGTTGCTCACAGGACCAATCTAATTACCAGTTCTTTTTATAACGAACGCTGACACCAAGGTAGAAGATGTATAGCACTTGTGCTGCAGCCAATGCCACAGATGATCAAACAGTCCTGAAATTTAAGAAAATGGGGATAAAATGGAAAACGTGTCCCTTTCTTGTCACGATGTTCCTGTTTTTTGTCCAACTCTAATTAAAGCTGAAGAAGAAGAGTGAAAAGCTGGTTCATTTGTAGCTTTGGCGCAGAATTAATTGCCAAGAGTTTAGGCTGGATATTTTAGCACTCTGTAGTAATGTTCCATAGGCACATTTCCCTACCACAGACTGGAGCCCTAATTATTTGAAAAGTGCATTTTAAAAACTTTGGGAATTATCCTTCAGGAACAAGCATATCAGAACGCCTTCAAATTGTAATTTAAAGATATTTGAAAAGAAAATCAGCATAGTGGGGGCTTGGCCAAACAGCACAGACTGAGAAACTAATTTCACTTTTTTTGAAAGGACAGTGGTTGTGTCCTTGGCCTTAATTTAAATCGTTAAACCATCTTGCATTCTGGTGTTTCTAGAAATGCCAATAAGAGATAGTATTTCTGAAAATCAATGTAGAGAAGCATTTGTCAGTGTGATGGCAACTTCTAAATTCCCCAACTCTTAACTTGCTAATAAGTAAATTTAATAAAAAGAAGGGGAAAAAAGGTGAGACTCCTCAGGTTAGCTTTCCTCTACTTCTAAGCACATGAAATAAATCAGTGGATTAAATTTAATTTTCTTTTAAGTTCTGGAGTTTTTCTCCTGAGCTGTTATCAAGCCAGTACCATTCCCTCTAAAATAAATGGGGGGGGGTCTGTCATTAACCTGCAGAGAAACCTGAGCATCTCATGACCCATGTGTTCCCCCCAACTTCAGCAGAACCTGGATCAAGACAGCCCTGGGGCTGACGAATACGTGGTTGTGGTTTAGGACCTGAATTGCTTTTTCATGTCCTATTTAAAATTTTCTCCATTCCTACCATGTGTGTAAGGACGGCAAAGGCAGAGTTAATGAAGCCTCGAGTCCCTCTTGATTGAGGACAGGATAAAGCTGTCAGTGCACCCCACTCCATGACTCAAATGGTATTTTGTTTTTTTTTTTTTCCTCACTGGCAACTTCCCACGACCACATATTTTCTGCTGCTTTTACAGAACCAAGTGCTCAGTGGGAATGGGAGCCCAGCGTGGATTTGCCCAGCACTGGTGGGGGGTCCCCTGGAAAATGCCCTCTCTGAATTCCCTTCCAGAGCTGAGGTACAGTGAAACCTGGGACAGATGGTGGGGAAGGCTGGCAGCTCCTCATGCATATTGCATTGCATTTGCAGCTACTCACCTCTTGATAATAATATTAAGTGCTACAAAACTCCAAGGCTTTGTTCCTGGGAATGCTGCATTCGATGGCAAAGAATCAATGCTGTAATGCCAATTAAATTTTGAAGCTGGGGAGCTCTAAGTATTTACATCTTTAGCAAGGTTATACTATAAACAGCTTGATCTCTCTTTTCTGCTGTGTTTAGGGCTGACTTGCAAAGAAATACGTGGTTCTGTTGTGAGTGACAAATCTTGATGCTTTTTTAAAAGCACAATGGGACAAACATCTGTGGTTATTTCCATTATGCTCCAAGGCATGTTACTGGGAGAGAATTTGGCCATTAATTTTGTTGTATTTACATTATTTATATACAAGAAGAACAAGAGGAATGGCAGCCTGTTTAATGATTATATACATTGTGATTTGGTTGGAAAAATGTGTGTTACAAATGGCAAAACAGCCTGTCAAGTGCATAATTATATGTTGTTCTTCTTTTTTTTCTTGTCAGGGATCTTTTAATTCCTTAAATCCCACTGCATGATCTCAGTGCAAGACCTCTCCTATACATTATACTGAGGGGGGGAGGAAAGAACAGCATAATAACAGACCTCTTAAATCACATCAGTTCCTGGCTATAGCTCTTTTTCTTCATTTTAGTAAGAGGGTTACCCTTGTAAAATGCTTCCAAAGCAAATTAAAAGATGGAATCTGATACAACAAAACTACTCGACAGCAGGAGAAATAGTAACTTAAATTTCATTCATTGTCCTTGGTCTCAGAAGAGAGAGTGGTGAATAAAACCTCACTCCCTTGTGACTCATTGCTCATCTGAGACTTGGCTTTCAGTAAGAACTGTGCTCTCCTGTACATTATTCTCTCCTGTTCCTGCTTCAGCTCCAGGTAGGAGCGTGAGAAGGTGTGGAAGATGGAGGTGACGGGGAATGCCATGAGGAGGATGCCGCTCAGGATGCTGCTCAGGGCCACCACCTGCCCGGGGATGCTCCTGGGCACCATGTCCCCGTAGCCCACGGTGGTCATGGTGATGACAGCCCACCAGTAGCAGGCGGGGATGCTGGTGAACTCCTGGGAATCCGCCATCTCGTTCTCCACGACGTAGAGCAGGGGCGCGAACAGCGCGATGGCCACGCACAGGAAGAGCAGCAGGAGCCCGAACTCGCGGGTGCAGCGGCGGGCGGTGAGGCCCAGGGTCTGCAGCCCCAGCGAGTGCCGCGCCAGCCGCATCACGTACAGGATCCGCAGCGCCCGCAGGATCCGCAGCACCAGCCCCACCTTGTCCAGGTAGATGTTCCCAGAGCTGGGCTTCTTGGAGCCCACCGAGGTGGTGTCCACCAGCAGCGTGATGTAGTAGGGCAGGATGGCGATTATGTCGATCAGCGTCAGCGGCCGCCGCAGGAACGCAAACTTACTCTTTGCCTGGATGAACCTCAGCAGGAACTCCAGGGAAAACCATGCCACACACACAGACTCCACAATGAAAATGTTGTAGCACATCTGGGAACACTCACCCTGCAGGAAAGAGGAGGAGTTTGTAACCGGCACTGGGTAATAACTATTTTAGTTGGTGCGGTGACAGGAAGAGAGGTTTCTGTGTGGGTTTTCTTAAACCCAAAATATTAAAGGCATCGGAGCTGTTGCTATGGGGAAACACATTGACAATTTGGAACAAGTTATATGCAAAACTTAAAAAGGAACTACTTATTCCATAGAAGGTACTACTTGGGAATTTCAGGCTTTCTAAATTGCAAACACAAAGAACCTAACAAGGCAAGGTTCAGTTGCACACTAACAAAATTTTCTTTGGGCATAGAACTGGATGTGCTTAATTATCTTACAAGGAATGGAACAGTCATGTAAGATTTCAAATACTCTTTGTGATATTTTTCCCCCTCTAAAGACAGCTGTAAAATCCCCATTAAAATCAATATCCTCAGACCTTGTATTTGCTCTGCTCTTCCCAGCACATACCATTTTCCATCCTGAAAAGCCAACTTACCTTTTCCTCCTCCTCCCTCAGGTCAGGCATGGTGCTGATGGATAAGTTCACTGCTGTAATAGTTACAAACAAAACAGACAAACACGCAAACACCTTTCCAGGAAGGCCAGACTGGGGCCTTTCCACCATGTCTTGCAACTTTTTCATGCACAAACCAATTTTTGTCTCCTCTACTGTTTCACCTGTTGTTTCATTTTCTAGGAGGTCATCCTCCCGTTCATTTATCTCTGTGAGCTCCTCCATTTTTTGCAGATATCTCCTTTTACAACACCAGTCCAAGTTGTCTTCCTCAATCCCCCAGTAGAGCAGCTCCTCTTGGAAAGACAGCGCACACATCTCACGCAGGAGCCGAAGTTTCCCGACCCTCAGGAAGGTCAGGATTGTCCTGAACGCCCCCGGGTTGCGGTCGAAAAAGAATTCATTGCAAGTCACATCATAATCATCACAGATGTTGAGAATGTCGTCAAAATTATTACAGAATTTCAGTTGTCCCAGACGTGTCAGTGGGAATTCATCAAGTGTGGTCCAGGGGAGCAGGTACTTTATGCCCCCCACGTTTATAATGATGTGGTGCTTCCTGTCGTCGGGGTGAAAGCCTTTGAGGAGATCCTCCTGGGGGGGAATTAGCCTGGCTCTTTGGTAAAAGACTCCCTTGAGGGTTTCTGACTCTGGAAAGAATGGGTGGTTGAAGGAAGTATCTGAAGCACAGCTCAGGGCACTATAGTCATAGTCGGAATTTTCTCCAGGCATCAGAGTCATCTTGGAAGACAACTTTACATCCCTTCGCTGCTTCTGCAAGTGTCTTCTGGAACAAAAACCACATGGGGTGAGTAAACGAGAGGTTGTTTTTGAGTTTTGAGCAAATATAGCGATTTGAGCTCAAAAACACTTATGGATGATAAAAACAACCGGGAAGAAAACAGCAGTGGCTGAGTGTGGTCAGAAGACCTTTCTGGGAAGGCTGGGTTTGTCCAGCTGGTTTGTCTATCAAGGGGTGCTCCCATGTCCAGGAGCTCTGCTCAGCACATTTGTCACACTGGGAGCTTTCTCCTGTCTCACATACAGAGGTCTCAGTTCTCAGGAGATAGAGAGGGAAACAGGAATAGTTCCTCCATGTGGCAGGATATTTCTGGTTCAGAATGGAGGTATAAAAATTATGACAGTGTCACATGAGAACACAGTTCAAGTGCACTTTGTAGAAAAGCAAATTGTATATTTTTATTTAAGTATTACTCATAAAAATCTTGAGTATTTTAGCACCTATGAAGTATATTGAAAGAATCAGAAGTCACTTATGTTGTAGTTGAGTAAATACACACTTATAAAAAACACTTAGTACAAAACTATTTTCTAAAAGGCCATATGGAAACAATCTGGGGGAAAAAAGCCCGCTGGTATTGGTGGTCACATAAATGTTTGTATAGAGTTTATACACATTTAATGACGTGGGAACTCCCTTTTTACAGCTTCATTTACAAAAGATTGCAAAGAAATACATGATTTCTACCCTTTGGGTATTATTTCAGTTATAGCAGACACCCAATATGCAGTAATAGGGCTCTGTCCTTCCAGGGGGTTGATCAGTACCTGAGAGCCAAAGTGCCTTCACCAACCGAAAAATTCTAATGACAACTTGGAAAATCCTGTTCAAATTCTGCTCACACAACACTGGCATAGAGCCTGTTGAATGAAGTGAACAGAGTTCAAAAGGGTATAAAAAACAGGAGCTGGGAATGCTAAACTTTTGGCCTCCCTAACTCACTGTATTTTTAAAGTCAGCCTGAAACCTGCCCCTCCACGGGAGGGTGGTTCAGCCCTGCTCCGAGACCTTCCATCTGCGCACTCAGCTACAGCTTCGTGCGTGGAGTTGCTGGGCTTCACTTGATAAGGGTATTTATTTGTTAAGCAGACTGTACAATAAATAGGTATTAATTATGCACCAGTATTTTGACTTTCTAGCCTTGAGTTCACAGGAAAGGAATAAATATTACACTTGATTGGCTTCAGTAGCAGTTCAGTTCCATTCTTCACCTGGCTGCACTTACCTCCCCTTGGCTGCACACCCTGGGGATACACCCCCTGCCAGGGCCACTTCCTTAACCACAGAACCCTCCTTCTCAGAAGCTGGGCTTTATAAACCACACCAGGAGTGGTACATACCTATTGGAGAAGAAAAACCCATGAATACACAACAGTAAAGGGCTCAAACCACAACTGCAATTCAGTTCAAGAGCAACAGGCTCTCCTTGCTGCAATGGGACTTACAATGCTGCTTTCCATGAAACGCTCCCTCAGTCCTACTCCTAAACTTCCAAGAGGGATAACGCTCAACAGAGCAGCTCCTTACACACTTCCAAACAGGTGGGCCCAGGTCAGCTTTGGATGGAGTGGTATTTCCTGCTTCTTCACCTGGATAGAATCATGGAATGACTTGGGTTGGAAGGGACCTTAAAGCTCATCTCATTCCAACTCCCCTGCCATATGCAGGGACACCTTCCACCAGCCCAGGTTGCTCCAAGCCCTATCCAACCTGGCCTTGGACACTTCCAAGGATGGGGCAGCCACAGCTTTTCTGGGCAACCTGTGCCAGGGCCTCACCACCCTCACAGGGAAGAATTTCTTCCTGATATCTCATCTAAAACTGCTCTCTGTCAGTTTGAAGCCAGCCCACCCTGATGACACGTAATCCTCTCTATTACTAAAAGGAAATCATTAATTTACTTACCTTTAGGGCATATGGACAAGAAGGTCTACAGGAATATACAAGAATGGACAAGGCATGATTCAGATCTTTCAAGAGTTGTGGTACCATTTCCTGGCCTGAAGCAAGCAAAGAGCTGAGCTTTGTCACCTCACTCACGTCACAAAGTGGGGTCTCTGTTACTACTGACAGCAACCTGAGCACAGCTGTTCTCCACGTCAAAATCTGAGCTGTGTTTAGCTCTCAGTGCCTTATCCTGCTCACTGGCTTGTGTTGCTGAGTTGCTCTGTCTTTGCTCCAGAGTTATGACTCTGGAAATCCCCTCCACAGAGGATGGAGAGTCTGAAATTCTGCACTGTGGGTGCAACCAGTGACAAAACCCTGCAGGCCTGCACTCAAATCAGCTTCTCATGGATTTCGGTCTCTCTCTTGCCTCAGGAAAGACTGAGGGAAGGCCTGCTGACCTGAAAGTCTTTTTTCTAGAAAGAACATTAACTTGAAACATACTTGTATTAAAAAGCCACATTACAAGAAATTGTAGCCAATACTGGGATTATCAGTGGAGTTCACGACAGGTGATGGCACTCTGGCATTGTCCACTGGACAAGCTGCAGGACTGGGATAAACAAAGGGATCTGAAGAGAGGGAGAGCTGGCACAGACAGTGCCAACTAGAGCTCACGGAACAGAGGAGCAGCTCAACTTTCAATTGCCCTGCCATACAGTCCATCAGTGAAGCATTCCCAGTGACCTCAGAGCTGGTCTCCTGTTAAAGCATTCCCAAGATAAGATCAGCAGTAATGCCACTGGAATTCGAGCTATAGGTTTGATGTGGGAAAACAGGGAAAACCTGATGTCTGTTTATGTAGGGCTCCTTCTCTTAGAGCAACTGTTGTTTTGTTTGGAAACAGGCATTTTCCCTTCTGCCTCAACCATGTCTGAGGCAGGGCTGGGCCGAGGAGAATAAAGATGATGACTGATATAACACCATGGATAAATGGGAGCTGTTAACCATTTTCCCTTCTGCAATACCAGATGATGTTGGTTAGCAACAACTTATCCTTTGAATCTCAGCCAGGAAAAATGAGGAGGCAGCTCATCTCTGTCACTGGTTTGATCTCCCACCGCATCCACTGTTGACACAATGGGAAGAAATGGGGAGAGGGGAATGTAGATGTTCTCTGTGTGTCAAACACACACTGTAGCCCCGAGGCAGCAACTGGGAAACGACAGAGCAAAGAAAAAATATTTTTTTTCGTTGCTCTCAGCTTCTCGACCTGTGCAAGACAATAAATTGGACAAATTAATCCCCCGTGTGACACACTGAGCGACTGCAGTGATAAAAGGTGGCTCCTTCCTTTTCCATAACCAGAGCTGGCAAGCCTACAGGTCCCACATAGGAGCTGGTGCCCTCCATGGGTTATTTACACGTTCTTTGCCTCAGAGACACGTAGCATCAGATCTATGGGAGAAGAGTGGGAGGAAATAAAAGACAACAAAGAGCTGAAGGAACGGAGGAAGGAGGAAAATAAACGCATACATTTCTCTGTCTGTTTGTTTTTTTCCTTTGGAAGGTGCCTCTACAGAATGATGGTCAGTACTGCTTTCAGATGGGAGAGATCTAATTCATGGAAGGGTTTTTTTGCTATTGAGCTTAAAACCCAAGCAAAACGTTTTCTTCCCAAGTTGCAGCCTAATGACACCGGGGACAGCTAATGAGAAATGTGTTAAGGATTAAAGACAACACACTAGAATATAAGGTCACACAAACCCATCGGCCTATAGCAACAATTTTCCCAGCAATTAAACAAGATGAACTTCAAGGATATGCTGGAACAGTAAAATCCCCTGCTCTGCTCAAGGCCCAATGGTAAAATCCCTCCTTGTCTGAGTCAACATTCTGCCCTTGGAATGCCTGGGAGTTACTGAAGCCCAGTCAGCTTTCTGGCTTCCCTAGCTGATAATGTGTTCTCATCTGGGCAAATCGCTTCTCTCTGAGCATCTTTTCCTATTTTGTTTGTAAGCTTACTGGGGCAATAATTGTTTCTCACTACATTATACAACCCTGGTAACTGTTCTGGCTTCCAGAACCTACAGGAATAACTCGCTGTGGAAAGGGTTCTTGGTGACCAAAGTGGGGTGTTGTGCATGGGAAGCAAGATAGAACATATTTTCAAAAAAATCTGTCCTGCACGAGATGATATCCCTTATGTCTGCTGAAGAAATCAAATTAGAAATCTGTACTGCCCTTACTTGCAGCTAAAATTCAGGAAGGATGCCAGACTCCCAGGCAATGGGAAAAGAATTATTAAAGATGCCCTTCTGAGGGAAAGAAATAGAACTCATGAGTAACATGCTAAAATTCCACTGCAAGTGTCGTTCACCCCCCCCCAGTGTCCTCTGCAGTATTTTGAATTCTGCAGTGCATCTCTGATGTAATCAGAGCTCCTGCAAGGAGTCCTGCTCTGCTCCGTGGTGCAGACAATTCAAAGTTGTGCCTGGATGAAAACAAGCATGCAAGGAAGATGCAGAACTCCCCCCTAGACTCTTCTATCAGTTCCAGTGCCTGGAACTCATCTCTGTTGCTTTTTACCATTTGTAAATTAAGTTTAAATAAAAACAAAAAAAGAGAAAAGTTTCAGATTTTGGTGCAGGTTGAATATGAATATAGTGATTTTTTTGAGAGAATTCCATAAGAAACTGCTTTACAGTTCAGTGATCCTTCCTCCTGTAGCCTTTCCTTAGTTAACCAGGCAGTATTCCCAGCAGTGTCACATTCAGTTCTCCCCTGGCACAGGATTTCTGGGCTGTACCACCTGCAGGTACCTCCTGACATACTCCAAGCCACACTCATGCAGCTCTTTTCAGCCTAAGAACAGATCTCAAACTTCAGCTCTGCTTGCAAAGTGCACTTCAGCCAAATCAAAGTAAAACTTAAAAAGGTCAATGTATAATAGGAAACAAAATTCCCCAGAAAAGCAGATAAGCTGAAAAAACGTGCTGCTATCTCTGTGTTGCTCACCTTGAGCTGGACAGTTATGGCATTTTATGACAATTTACAAACTGAATTATGTCAAATATGTTACTCACTCTTTGGTTTTATGGAGCTGAACCTTATTCTACCTGATAATAATCAGAAGTGAAATAACTTTGCAGATAAGTTATATCCCCAGGAGAATGTTCTGAAATACATTAGGAGTAATAACTGTATTTACTCTCCTGCCGTGAAACATATTTATGTCAACAAATTTTAGCAAGTCACATTCAAAACAATTCCTTAAACATAGTTTTTAAAAATAAAGGATTTTATAATTATTTATATAGGTAAATATTTTGCCACTGAAATGAAGATATGTAGTCATGGAAGAGTTATTTCATGCCTCTCCTGTCCTTCCCCCCCTCCCCAAGTCTTTTCCAATGAAAAAAGTCTGCTAGAAAGACATTGCCTATCAAGAATAGTTCACTTTGATGTGTCAGTCGCCAACGAGCAGAAGTCAGCAAATAGATCAACATAAAAGACATCTCTTAATTATTTTAAAATTAAAGCTAGAAAGGACCTTCAGATTAGGCAAAGCAGAAGAAACTGGAAACACAAGCCTCCATCCTGCGCTGTGCAGACACAGGACCCGTGGAGCGGGAGAGCCGGGAAGGGGAAGCCCGAGCAGCACGAACGGAGCCCGATGGATGAGCCTGGAGCGCCGTCAGCCTCCTCCGCGGCGGGGCCGGGGCAGGGCAGGAACGAGCCGGGCGGTCCCGGGCAGCAGCCGCCCCGCTCCCGCTGCTGGCGGCGCAGCCAGCGCGGCTCCGGCAGGGAATGACGGCGCGGGCGGACGGTCCCTCTCTTCCATCCCTGCGGCGGGAGAGAACCTGTTGCTACAACCCGTGCAGGGACCCCCCACCCCTCCCGCCGCGCTCCCCGCTCCGGTGGCTCCCGGCGGACTCTCGGCGGGCTCCCGTCCCGCGTTATCTCCGTCCCGAGCATCCCCGTCCCGAGCATCCCTGTCCTGGGTAGCCCCGTCCAGCGCACCCGCGTCCCGCGCCCCCCGGCCGGGCCGTGCGATGCCCGCAGCCCCGCGGCCCCGCGCCGCTCCTGGGAGAAAAGTTCCCTGGGAACTTGCCTGCGAGTTGCCCGCTCGCCGGGCACGGGCAGCGAGCGCGGCCGCCCCGGGGCTGGGTCGGCACCGGCCGCGCTACCGCGCTGCGCCTCCGCTGCGCCGGGCGGGGCGGGCGGGGGCGGCGGCGGGGCCGGGAGCGGGAGCGGCAGCGGGAGCGGGGCGGGCGGCCCGGGCGGGCACCGGCGCAGCCCCGGCCCCCCGCATGGCGCCGAACGGCCGCGGCACCCGCAGCTCCGCACGGACCGGCCGGCGGGGCCGGGGGAGGAGGAGGAGGAGCTCCCGGCGCCGAGGAGGAGCCCCGGGCCGGGCCGGGCCGGGCCGGGAGGAGCCCCCGCAGCCCCGGCCCCGCTCGGGCAGCCCCGGCTGCGCACAGGTGGCGTCCCGGGCTGGGCAGCCTCGGGAAAACTTCTGTGGCTTCGCCCGTTCCGGGGGAATTGTGGTTGCTGGCTGGGGAAGGGGGATTGCAGATGTCCAGTAAAGTATAAATCGTATCACGGCTCTCCCCTCGATCCACAGCAGTGGCTCCAGGAGAGCCAAACCTGTGCTTTATTCCTGAGGCACCCTTGCAGCGTCCAGCGGCAATTAACAGCCTGATTCATTGTCAGAGATCTGGGGAGTATTCCGTATCTCTACTTTTTAATGAAATTTGTTTGTCGTCTGGGTGGAAGTTACTCTGTGTGGATTTAAGGCAGTGAATTAAATCTTGGTGCCAGGGTTAGGGAGTCACCGGCAGCTCAAGGTCTGTCACACACTAAAAAGTGCAAAGTATTCCTATCCCGTTTGCTGTTGTCCCCCGCCGGTGTGGAGATCATGATACTTCTGAGCTCTGGTTTCTCTTCCCTGCCGAGGCACTGCTCCTGGATGGAATTCCCTGCAGTGATCTGCACCTCCGTGCAGAACGGTGACAGTCACCTCTAAGCTCAGTGGGGCAAGGGGTGTCTCTCCCTGTGAGCATTGTGCACTTCACCCGGAGCACTGCGGGGTCTCATTTCAGGCAAAGTCCTTTGTTGCCATGGCAATACAAATGAAAAATCTATACTATGGTAATTTTAGAAAAATACCTCCTTTTTTTTCTAAACTAAATTGGACTGTGGTTCAGAATCATGTGGGCACACAGAAACAGTCGTGCTGATATTCCTGAGCTGTAGCTGTTGAACAGCAGTTGTGTAGAGGGCTGTCAGCGATGGGCTGTCAGCTTGGGCTGCTTCTCCCTGATATTGCATATGATTTGTACTTGGCTTTGGAAAGGTTTCTTAGCAGGCTCTCAGCCTTTATCTGCAGCAGAGAGGTGACCGGTTTTACTGATCACGGTGCCATGAACAAGAGTTTTGGCTTTTGTGCGACAGTCTGTAATAATCTCATTGATGAAAGTCTGTGTTTAAAAGTCTTTGCTGTCAAAGGGGAAGGACATATTAAGTAGGACCTCCCAGGGAATAATCTGGGAACAGTTTTGGTTAGTTTTCTGTAACAACTTGGGTGATAGAACGGAGAGCACTTTTACTACGTTTGCAGTGATTCCAGCATGGAGTGCAAGGCTGAGATTTAAAATGACCCTGACACACTGCAGAGCCAGTCTGAACTCCACGCACTGAAATTCCAGGAGAAAAAATTCTGTAGTATGCCACAAGGAAGGGATATCCCGTGTCAGATGAGGACTATTAGTTAGGCAAGAACACTGCAGAGGAGAGAGAACCTCGGGACTGGAGTGGCTCGCAGCCTGAGCAGTGCTGCAGAACAGCCGTGCTGCTCCGAGCCCTGTAGCAGGAGGATCAGCTGTAAGACATCAGAGGGCGTTATTTCTGTTCCATTTAGCACCAGCCAGGCTTGGCTGGAGCACTCTATCCAGTTTCAAGCATTACACTCACTCTTAAAGAAAGATGTAGGCAAACCAGATAGGAGAATAGCAACCGAAAGCGTAAGAGGCTTAGAAATGTAAGCTGTGAGGAAAGCTGGAATTTTTTATTTGATCTGGAAAGAAAACACAGTATAAGGACATGGCAACTGTCTTCAAACATATAAACACATTTATAAAGATGACAGTAAACAGTTATTCTGTGACCACAAACGATGGGATAAAAAGTAATTTGCTAAAGTGCATTAGGGAGGTTACTTTAGATATCAGGGAAAAACAAACAAACAAGACAAAACGATTATCCTGCTAGTAGCTGAAATCTCAGGAGGTTGTAAATCTGTTCAGTGAAGATTTAAAGAAAAGATTAGACAAGCAGCTCTCAGGACTGGCTGTTGCATGCCTGGGGCAGGGAAGACTCCCAGTCACCTTCATTTACCAGCCCACATTTCAGTGATTCCTGGTTGCCCACCAGGTTACACTGATCCTTCCAGGAAAAGGCATAAAAAGAGAACTCATTATCACCCCTTATGATTAATGCAGATCTTTTTTACTAAATCACCTCTGTGATCAGGATCTCGTTACCATCTGGAGACCAAGAGCAGCTCATGGAGACACACAGAGAGCAGAACTATCCATGGCAAGTAAGCAGTTTTCAAATCCAGCTTTGAGCAATAATGACTGAAAATTGTTATTACTCAATGGTCAGTGTAAATATAAATGTCCTGCAATTTGCTTGGGACTCACTGTAGGACTCATCACCTCATTTGGACCCTTGTCTGGCAGATTCAGTTGAGGTCAAGGATTTCACAGACATGAGGAGTCAGGTGTGAGGTCACTGGCTGTGGCCAATATTAAATCTGTCCTGGCAAATGGAGCTCTTCCCTCTTCAGGCATGTCTGCCTGCATCCTTCATGAGCACAGAATTCTTGTGGGAAGCAGAAGTGATACTTGCCCTTGAGGGTCCCAAGGAGTGCACTCTCAGTTTTCCTGCAGGGGTAACCTGACTGCATGGTGGACTGGCCCAGGATTCCCAGAGTAAATTTACTGCTCTGTGCTCCTTAAGGAACTGGTACTGCCACAGAGAAAAATTTCAATCCCACTTTTATTACTTTTACAGCCTGCGGCTGCTTTTCCTTCTGTTCCTTTGATTGTTGATGTTGAAATCCTGTTCTATGGGTTTCTCTGGCTTTTACAGATCATTCCATCATCATTCTGCAGTCAGGAGCAGTGCTGCCAGCAAACAAGGTATTCCAACTTCACAGCACCTTTCACCTCTCACTTCCCAAACAAAACAGGAGGCTAAATTCCTCTCTTATAAACAGAACTTAAATATCCACATGGCTGAAAGGTGAGAATTTTCCAAAACCAAGCTATGACCAAGGATTATTCACAGAACTTATTCATCAGAAAATTTCACCTATTGAATACAATACACAAATGCTATCTGCTTGAGAACTCTGTTTACAGAGACAGAAGCAAAATTCTTTGAAGAAATAATGGATGGCAAATTATTCACCTGGTCCTAGAAAACAATGCTTTTGCCTTTAAAGGATGCCATGTGAGGTATATGCAAAGTGTTAGGCTGGAAGTGGAAAGCACAGACACTGCTGCAAAGAGGTTCAGAAAGGTCTCAGAAAACCACATGACAAAGCCCAAGGTACCTTCTGCCAGCCAGAAGAAATTGGTTAAAAGCCTCAGAATTGCTGTTCCAAGTGTGTCTCAGAGCTCTTGGTGCTGCTGCCCTCAAGGACATGAACCAGGTCCTGGTGTGTTTGGGTCTGGTGCCTTTTTCCAAGGAATGCTAAAGATTTCCTCACCTGCCTTGCTTGAGGTAAGGTAATTTAATCACTTTATGCTCCCTTTGTTGCCACTTGAGACGCGTTTGAGCAAATGTGGTTGCTCACCTTAAGGTATGAGGATAAATTGTATCTGTCTCCACAGGTGAATCAGAGCCCAATTCAGTGTAAAGGGAATCCCAAGGAATTCTGGCACTGCTGCTCACATCTGGTCAGCAGGATCCCACCTGGAATCACTTGAATTGGATCACAGAAGGTCTGCAGCACGGAGGGGATTAAATTTAGACATCTTTCTGTCACCTTTAATCATTAAACAAATCCTCAGATGTTTGTATTTGGAGAAAAGCTTTCCTTTAGCTTCTTTCCTTGTACAGTTTTCTGGGAGTTTTGTGCCCGTGCATGGGCAGAACCAGGCTCTTCTCCTCTTCTGCCTCTGTTTGTCCTTGCTGCAAATCCCCCGGGGGAGCTCCTGCACGAGCTCCTGCTCGTCGTGTCTTGTTAGTCGTGGCACTAAGGGAGTGAGGAGTAACACATCCCTCCTCCATCTGCAGCTCTGGAGATGTGCTGTTTATGTTTGCAAGGTGGCCGATGTGACTAAAATTAATTTACAATCTCCCGAGATTTTACTCCAGTACCTCGTGCTGCCAACCTCCCCCATATTCCCTCTGCAGATCCTTGGCTGGAGAGTGTGTGCTGGTACCTGTGAGCTGCTGGGAAGTGTCTGAGTAGGATCCGTTGGTGGGCAGGGCACCAGAACCAACATAAACTCTTACTCTACAAAGAAACCGGGAAATGAACAGGGAATGAAGAGAAAGAAGTCAGGAGCATGGCTGGGCAGAAAACTCTTTTTAATTTAAAAGAGTACAGAGGTGTGGATGTGGTCAAACAGCCTTGCAGGGGTTTGGTTTGACCTTTGCAGCTTTTTTTGCTCAACTTAATGCTGTATCTCAAGTGCC